AAAATGGGGGGGGGGAGTGGGGGTGCTTGGGTCTCTCTATACCAGCGGGGATGTTTCAAGTTCCATTCGATGAGGATCAGGAAGATTCAGCCCAATGTAACTGGAGAGTGCTCATCGGCCCTCAACTATTCATCAAGATACATTTTAAAAGAGAGAGCCTGTTGGGAAGAGTCACTGGGATGGCATCCTGGAGGGAATTAAAAAAAAAAATAGTTTAAATCAACTAGAAAATGTGACGGGTGCACAGTGTGATTATTCAACATTTATTATCCGCTGCGTGTTAGGTGCCGTTGATGTGGACCCCCCGNGTTGGGAAGAGTCACTGGGATGGCATCCTGGAGGGAATTAAAAAAAAAAAATAGTTTAAATCAACTAGAAAATGTGACAGGGGTGCACAGTGTGATTATTCAACAGTTATTATCCGCTGCGTGTTAGGTGCCGTTGATGTGGACCCCCCCAGGGCTGCTGCTGTGCCTGTGTCACTCCTAATAATTTTTAAACTCACTGTGTCCTTCTAACCATATTTTTAAAAATTGAACTTCCCCAATGTGAACACTTTCCACTTTGCCACATAATGAGAGTACTTTCATCCCTTTAATGTTTGCTTTCCCCTTTGATCTAACTATTTCTGTTCAAATTTCACAGTTTTCTGTTGCTTCCGGATTGAAAGAACCGATGACCCTGCTGGGAGCGTGAAATACACTTTTTTTTTTTCTTTCTTTTTAAATCTGCATGATATTTCCTCCCAGTGAAATTAACTGAGGATTGAATTCGGGGCGAAGGGACACACCTTGTGCTCCAGCCTCTCTCGCACCTCAGCTGTGCCTCACCCTGAAAAGGTGCAGTGGGGCCTGCGGCCAGCCTTCTGTCTTTTGTGCGGGTGAAGTCGCAGAACCTCTTGCTGGTTGACACCAGGCTTTGTGTGGGCCTGATGATATATTTGGAACGTGTCTATTTCTTTGAAGGCCAACCTCAAAAGCACTGTCCGAGGCTGGGGTACTTAACGTGCACTGGCTGGCTGGGTGTTTTGAAGGTGTTTTGAAAAACTTACCTTCTTGCAAGGCTGGGACCACCAGCTCCAGGGCAACAAAGGACAATTTGGAGCGGGGTGGAAGGAGCGCTCCGCAGCCGCCCGGCCCCCCGCT